GTGTGTGTGTGTGTGTGTGTGTGTGTGTGTGTGTGTGTGTGTGTGTGTGTGTGTGTGTGTGTGTGTGTGTGTGTGTGTGTGTGTGTGTGTGTGTGTGTGTGTGTGTGTGTGTGTGTGTGTGTGTCACAAGTTTTTTCTAGCTATACTTAGAATCCAACACACTCTACTAATACATATATTGTATCTTTGATAATTATCACGGATTATTGCAAAAGAAGCAATGAAACGATGAGAGATTAACAAAAAGAATGTAACATATACATATGTATATTGCAGGGAATATAAAGAAAAATAGAACAATGATTAATTGTATTATGAAGAACTAAAAAAATCGATATAAATCTACGCTTATTCTACGATCATGAAGAAATGTCACACAGAAGATATGTTATTTAAGAATATAGATCTATGTATAATACTGCTAGAAATAAGAAAAAAATAACATTGTCAAATATTGAATTACAAATCACAGTCAAAAGCTCATAAATTGAAGGAAACTTTAGTTCTTCATCGTAATATCTATAGTTCAATGCTACTGTTGTTGGCAAGAAATGACGTGAAATTCAGAATAAATGATAGACTTTCTGTATTTACTAATAGCAATTAATATTACTATCAGTATAAATTTTTCATGTATTAAAAGAGAGAATTTAAATTTTTTCAAATTTTAGATATAATTAATATATCTTAATTATTACTCTCTTGTAAAAAGATTTTAAAAGCGTAAACACAGTTATAGATTTAAATATATTCTATTGTTCAATTTTGATCGCTTAAATACTAAAAATTATTATAACGTTAATATTTTTATATTAAATTTTTTATTTTTTATATTTTATCTTCAATGTATAATCTTCATTTATTAAAGTGTACTATACATCAATTGTAAAACGTCTATATTTTTCTTAAGCCTAAATAATTATTTTTTTAGTGAAATATTTTTAAATATTCGCAATGCTTATCAAACATTATTGTTATTATCTTATCAAACATCAGATATTATATCTCGTGCTACCAGATAAGACCAGATCGTCTTAACATTTATCTACTTTGAAATGTTAATTACTTTGAAATTGTATTTACATGTTTTAGCATTTAATATAAGTTCATTAAACTTTTTTAATTAAAAAATCGATGCGCATGCTAATGATAAAAAAAAGCGTATTGCGCATTTTTATACCATACGATTCATTGCCTCTCGTAAAAAGGGAATCGTATCTATCGAGTGAGAGTAAATTATCGATAGTAAGTATTAATACTTTTTTGACAATATGTAATAATATTATTAATATTAATTATTTTTTATTCTCTATATTAGTGTTGTTCACTTTTTGTTTTCCAAGATTCCCAAAATAAAATTCTTTATTTTACTATAATGCATAATCTATAATTTAATAAAAAGAATTGATTATAAATTTAATAAAATTACTATAAAATAAAACAAGATAATGTCTCTTTTTACTTTCAATATAGCAAGATTAATTTAAAAATAAAAATCTAAAAAAGTCCCGAAGAAAAAATATATATTCTATTTTTTTTAATACTATTTTAACTGTTTTAAAAGAAAAGCTTATATTCAAATTTCCTGTGTTTTCTAATTCTATTTTATCAAATAATAATACTAAAATTTTATTTTACTTTAAAATTTCTATCCCTTATATCATAAAATTATTTGTGCATAATATTTTACAAATATTTAGAATCAAGTTTAATCTAGAAATATATATAGAGATATATAATCATATATATATATAGAAAATAGATCTAATAAGTTGGATGTAATTTTGGAGTAATTGGAGTAAAAGCAAAAATATCATGAAATTTCTTAAGATTTCCCTACAAAACTACCCTAAAAATTTGTCAAGTTAAAATCTATGAATCTTACGATAAAATAACTATCAATATAATTTCTAATATTTAATGATAAATCAAAAGAGAAAGAAAATATATGTTCAATTTAATTTAATCAAAATTTTTTATAAATTTGTAAATGAAATTGTATTAAATTTTTATTTTGTATGTAAATATATTCAATTGCTCGTGTTACCGAGCTTGAAATCGAGCTTAGTAATCATTTGGCTATTTTCCAACTTTTTTTCCGTACAGTCGTGGCTATTAATCTTAAGCGACACGTCATAACGACGGGAAGCGGCTAAGACCGCGCTTACAGAGTAGTAGGATTAATAGTCTTTAGCGAACGTGTTGAACGAACAGTAACGACGCCGACGCGACGGTAGCAAGGACGGCGGCCCGGTGCGGCGCAGCTGCCGAGAACGTCGTTTTCACTGACGCAACATCGATCGCGCACCTCCACGGGCTATAACCTTTGCGTTTTCCGACGAGTTTCGTTGCGGCCTGCGGTGTTTTGCCGTCCGATAGAATTCAAAGAATCAACTTGCCAGCCTACACCTCGCGCCTAAAGTTCTGATCGTACACGATAACGTCTACTATATAAATTTCCGACGTGTGCTCCGAAAAATGAAGACCACGAAGACCTTCGACTGACAGTCCAAACAACCCCGCGAACGCAAAGGAGGGACCTTCGCTTTCGGGAAAGTTTTGTGTAACACCGCCCGATGCGTTGTCAAGTGCATCTTATTGCAATTTTGGTACTATCTAATTCTTCAAATGACGAAAATTAATACAGAGAATCGATTAGCAGTTCTTTGTGAACGTACTATATGATCTTGCGCATCGTAAAAATAAACAAGAGTGTTATTATTTGTTGCGGCACGTTGTATTATGAATATAATTGAGATCTCATATACGTTCTTTTGCTGTCAAGTTTATTTTTATTTTATAATGAGCGGAAAAAAGAGAGAGAAAGAAAAGATAATTATCCAACAGGGGATTTTCAGCTTATCATATCCGTTTCCGGTCTTCATTAAATTGCATGTTTTATTTTTTTCATGCAAATCCATGAACAACCGTGTGATAGTTTATGCGTTCATTAAGCATGTAACATATGACGTTCCGCGAATGCTCTTATCAGCATTGTATTTATCAGCAGTGGTATTATTTACATAAATGCACAATGTGACTTCCTCGAAATTATTAGCTGGCAGACTCTGTATAATTCTCTGCATCGAATCAAATAAGTTATCAGTATTATCAAATTTATTGAGATGTTTATTATAGTAGATGTTATAATGAGATTATCAATTTTATTTATTGTTGCTTATTTAAATATTATTATTCATATTGTCTATATTATTCCTATAAAAAATTTTGTATAAATACCAAAAAATTTAATAATTTAGCCTAATAAAATTATTTTCAAATTTAGTTTGAAAATAATTTTATTGAGCCATCAAAATAATTGTGTATTAAGACATTTAAATATGAATAATATGATATACAATGCTACAAAAGTTTTGATTCTAACAATCAGCTTGAGTGTCCTATATACATAATTATTTTTGACAGCTCAACAAAATTATTTTTTTTTTCAGATTTATATCTATATAGCGAAATTTTTAAATACTTCAACAAAATTTATTTCCGTGTTTATATATCTTTGCTATTTCTCCTGAGATTAATATATTCATTTTGTTGAAGGTCTGTTGAGAGTTTTGTTTATTGTCTACTTAAATTTATTATTTTTTTATACCAATAGCACTTTATCGTTATTTACATATATTTATTTTTAGTATAACTACTCATACTATTAATACTAATACTATAGTAATAAAATTAGCACTAAAAGTTTTAAATTAAAATCTATTTTAAATAAAATAGATTTTAAAAATAAGACAGAAGAGACACGGAATATAATGTGTGTAATAGATTTTTTCTCTTGTCGACCAAATATAATGCCTGTAATAATATTCTGCAGCTTGGAATGAAATTTCAACTGCAAGATGATATCTCATTTAAGATGTAGGTATGTGTATTTAATCACCGGCTATTATTACATTCCTCGAAAAGTAACAAAGAGAATTCTTGTTAGATATAAAAATGTCGTACATAACGTAGACTTCAATATATAATATTAATAGCAACAAATAGAGTTTATAGATTGCATGTGCATTCGATGGACTTAAAGTTTAAAATTAAAATAATAAGAATTATATGAAAGGATGACCAAGAAAAAAATATTAGTAGAAGAAAGAATTACTTCAACTTTTGATAAATAATTTTCTCATATCCATTGAATGCATATGGAATCTATAAACTAAATTTGCTGCCATTAAATATTGTATATTAGTTAACGTTATTTACAATATATTATTTTTACACCTAAGAATCCTCTTTGTTACTTTTCGAGAAGTATAATAAAGAGCAATTAAATAAATCTTAACTGATATAATTTTAAAAATAGACGTTAATTAACGCTTTAAAAATAGACGTTAATTAACAAAAATTTAAATTTCAAATTGCTTATAAAATATTTTACCATTGACATTCTATTTCAAACTATAAAATATTATTACGGATTAATAAAATTCCATTGAGAGAAAATTAAAATTTTACAAAAATTGTTTATAGTTGGGAATAAAAAACAAAATTTTATTTCTATATATTTATATCTCTAAAAGTTAATTTATCAAAATTCTTTTTCCATTTTTCAAAACGCACAATAATAACAATATATAATTAATTTTTAACCTATTTTTTGCAAATTGAATGATAGCTCTCACCTAACAATCATTTCACACTTTTTCTTTCTCTCTCTTTACATTTATTAATCATTAACAATAGTAAAAAAACATATACATAAAAGATATCAATAATTCATATTACTTTAAGGTGCATATAACAAACATGCGTTCAAGAAGTCTGCGTTCAAGAACTAATTGCTTTCTTGTCAAAGCATACATTTAAAAAATAAATTAAATTTTTAACAAGAAATATTCGTATCTTACGTATCAAGGCTTTAATTATCAAATGTGCTGCGTAAAATTATTTACGCTCAAATATAAATTGCTGTTGTAATATTGTAATTTATTGTCATTATCATATATAAATATTAATGATATAAAAAATGCAATATTATATACTCTTGATAAAATATGAGCTATTCTAAAGATCATAAAAGAATTATCTTTTTTATGTTTAATAAAAATAGTTATTGTGACACAGAGAAGCACGATTTATCACGCTGATAAAATTAATTGCAGTATTATATAAAATATGTTCACACGCACGTGTGAAGGTAACAACTACTTCTGTACTGTCCTCTCTTACAGAACTATTCAGGGAACGTTAATGGCATTTGAATTGCGGTGCTGCCCTTGGTTTAGTCGCGAGGATTGACACTTAACGAGGAGAGAATTAAAAGGCCTATGAATAGCCATCAAAGAGTATGAATGATCGTGACTCGTCGGCGGCTGCATCGACGCGAGATTCTTCCCGATAGCGGTGTCGATCGCAGACGTCGGCGATTGGCGTCATCATCATTGCCATCGGCTTTAACAGTAGCAACGATCGCACATCGAAATCATGGAGAAACAGGAGTTTTTTGCGAATCTACATTATCTGCCGATTGCCGTTTTTGTCGCCTTGCCTACAGTTTTCATTTTAACGTGAGTTTAAAAAAATAGTGTATAAATTATTAAGGAGTTTAAATATACGTTTGATTAATTTATTAATATCTGTATTATTTTATCTATATGCATATTATGTATTTTTATTAATGCAGATTACTTTAATTTCAAGTTTTTTTTCTAGTTCTAATTGTAAAAGTTAAAAAAAGATAAAGAGTAAACTGAAATTAAAATTAATCTACATTGGTGAAAACAGATATTAGTATCTTGAAGAAGATATTAGTATATGTGAAGGAGAGAAGGGGGACATGCGCGCACTTAAAATCATCTTCTCTGTCATTTTAATTAGATCAAATTTTTCAAAAAAACTTATTTTCCACAGATACATAATCGCTGTCTTACTAGGACATGTGGAAGCTGGTTTTCCTTACATTTCTGATGCAGCAACTTACGCACCAGAAAGTTGTATTTTCTCTCAAGCTGTCAACCTGATTGCCATTCTCAGTAAGTAGAACCCGTTTTAAAATATAACCCGTTTTGCAAACGATGTAATATTATCTTTATACATCTCATATGTCTATATATCAATATATATATATATATATAGGTATATATTTTTATATCACATTAATGATCTTTTCTAATATTAAGAGAATCATTTGAATATTTGCATCAATTTAATTACAATAGTTTACAACAGTAACATTTTTTTACTTATCAAAAACAAGAAAATTTTGATGTGTTTTTATTATTTACATACTTTATATATGTATATATATTTTTTACTATTTCTATTTTTTAAATTATAAAAAATGAGTACGATAAGAAAAGTATGAATCGTAAAAATTATAATAAAAATGTAATTACAATAAAATAATAATAATTAATAAACAATAATATACATAAATGTTATGCATCATTAAAGCTAATTACATTCTTTTATATTGCAGTGAGTTTTATGATCTACATAAGATATTCTCAAGTTAAGGAATGCATCAAATCCTTCGGTTCACCAACTTCTTTACCGAAATGGAATCATTGGGCCTTAATTTTCGGTCTCCTATCAACCACCGGTCTATCAATTGTCGCAAATTTTCAAGAAACGTCAGTAATAGTAGTTCATCTCATCGGTGCTATACTCTGCTTCGGAGGTGGTACCGCGTATTTTTGGACTCAGGTACATATGAGAAAAATCAGATATGCTCTCAAAGCAATAACAACATGAAAGTTTAAATATTTACTGATATAAAGATTTAATACAGAATAAACAAATTAATAAAAATTTAATTTAATAACATAACAAGCACTTTATACATTTGGTGCAGATATAAGAATAAAATCGATCGCTATATATGATAACAAAGTGGTAGAAGCTAATACATAAAAAAATTGTACCATTATCTCTTTGTTACAGGCTGTATGTTCATTTTACTTGTATCCATCAGGGTGCTCGTTACGACTCGCGCATCTTCGCACGGCGTTATCGACCTTCTGTACTGTGTGTTTCTTCGTGATCCTCATCACAGGCGTGTTGGCCCATTTGGCTTATAAGGGTTAGTTCGTTGATTTTTAACTATTGTTTGCATTGCATGTTATAGTGTATTAACGTTTAAAATATACCCTGTAGGAACGAATCCCCGGAAATGGTACAAGGAGGATGGCGGTTGGGAGTTGCATGTGGCTAGCACGGTAACCGAATGGCTTTGTGCAATAGCGTTTTGCGCTTATATCCTGACATTCACGGAAGAGTTTAGGGATGTCAGAATAAGTCCTCCAAAGGTAATTATTATGAATAATAAATTTTAATGCAACAGATAGTTCGTTGTGTTTATAATAAAAAAGCTTAATTTTTTTGGAATGGTACACAAATATGTTGTAGCAGTGAGCAAAAAAATTAATACTTGATATTATATAATATGCTTATTAATTAGTATAATACATTAGTGTTGTAGTAATGTAAAAAATTATAGGGAACTCAATTAAAAAGATTAAAACTTTTTTTCGTTTTTAAAGAAATATAATGTACCATCACTTTCTATTGAGAATTTATGAACATATTTTTGCATATCTGCCAACAGGTGATATGTAACATGCATATTTTACGAATGAGATCGCATAACGAAATATTGAACGAGAGCCAGACCGACAGAGATTCCGTTGTGGTTCACGATCAGGCGAATCCATCAACCAGTACCTGATCGCTCATAGGCAGAGGCGCCGGCGGCTACGTCAATCTTCTCTCGCATTCACCGGTCGATACACCCTGTCCCGGTTATCGGTATCGCGAGTCCAGAGACAACTTGCTGAACGAAGTGGCGCCGCTAGTGGCCACGACACCGCCAGCGTTGCACGACAACGCCGAGAGGCATCCCGACGTTCTCTGCCCGGTGGAAATACACGTACACGATCCTGCGGTACGTGAACGACGACGACGTTCCATAAACCATCACGCCGAGAAGCGACACCAAAGAACCGTCGAGGACACTTCGAAGAGATGGATCGATCTCGACGAAAATGTGTTGGACGGTTACATCTTAATCGACGACAGAAACCTCGGTCCTTCCGTCCCCCAGGTTGACGGTGAGGAACTGCCGTATCCTGAGGATGCCATTGAGTACGATGACGACGAAGATGACGACGACGATGGTAACCAGGACGAGGAGACCGGTAGTCACGACAGACGCAAGTGGTCAACGTACAATCGATCGAGGGGGATTAATTCAAAACGATACCGGTCTGATTTCGATTTCGGCGTGACATATCCGCTCGCGAATAGTCACGGGAATGCATATCAGGACTCGAGCAGCCACAGTAAGTACACAGAACTTTGCAAATATCAGAGTGCCAGGAACAATCTCGAAATGATTCGCGGCCTTGACGGGTCACCATACGTAATAGCAAACAGCCACGGCAAACACGGAGATCCGGCGACCGATATACGGAATCGAGATTATAGCGAGACCTCAAAAAACGACAATCTGATTTGGGACAATAGATCAGCAGACATGAATTACGAGATAGCCAACAGTCACAGCAATTACCGCGTATTCTACGACAGTCAGACGCAACATCAAACTATGATGCCACCCTGGTCCCCGGAGCTACGGTCGGAAAACAGCCGCGAAGAGTCTCGTGTTGCATCGGAGGAACCTAAGGATATAATCGCGAAACAGCAAGACAATCAAGAATGCGAGGCGAACACAAATCAATCAGAAAAGAAAGACGAGCCGGACTCCGGGACTGCCTGCGATATTGAACAATGCTTGGTACAAATCGAGGAAAGTCTTTTGAATATCGAACAAAATCTCCTTCACGTTCAAGACTTGGATATTCCGGAGTTGCGGAATTTACTCTACAAAAGTCCGAGTATCGAACGGAGCCTCTACGAGGTACAGGATCTCCTCTATGCCGATGGCATTGTTCCGGTCAACCCCAGGAATAAATCCATGTCTATCGATTCGGATGAAGAGGAGGTGGAGGAAAATGAGGAGGAGGAAGAAATAGAGGAAGAGGAAGTGTGGGTAGGCCAGAACGTAACGGTCAAGGATGACAATAAAGATGGAAACGCGGACGCACCTCTAATAAGTAACTCCAATGACGAGTGCTCGGATACAGTCAACGTTAATAAACATAATCCTTCAAGATCGGCGGATGATCGGTATGCCGATTGGATTGACGAATCAAACGTTTTGCAAGAAGGGAAAAAAGACTCGAATTCTCAGCTGTATTCAAGAAGGAATTTTGTTCTCAATAGTCTTGGCAAAACTCTACCAAGGAAAATCGCTCTGGACGAAGTTAAAGAAAATATTAGGCTGTGCTCGTCGGAACCGGAAGAGCCCACGATTACGATCGATTACAATTTGAATACAGCATACGCCGAGAAAAAATCTCTCTTCCGCGACAAGTGGCACAGCCGGGCGAGCTCGTTGGACGAGAACTCGATCTTCCAGAATTTGGAGCTTGGTGATAAGCAAGAGAACGACAAGACCTCGTTGCAGGACGTCTTCCTTACGGCCACGGGGTCTCGTCGCTTAGCAACCAACGCGAAAGCACTGTCGGAAGGCACCTTGCCGACTGATCAAGAGAAACGACGTGACCGGAGAGGATCCCATGAGGAGAAGCTTCTGCAGGCCGTTGAAGCAACCGCGGCGGACTTTCGAAAAAAACTCGAGAGTTTCGCGTTGCAACGACGATCCATTCTGCACAGGCAGAAGAGAATCACGCCGAAATCAACCAAGGAAGTCTCGGACAACGCGATGTCGAGATCGCGAGAAAAATCGCCCACGAGACCGAAGCGTGCGACGGCAGCTAAGACGCAGGACAGAGACGGTGCCGTCGGTAAAAATACCGGTTGCGATAAGCGAAAGAGGAAGAAAACATCGGGGAAAAATCAAGGTGCCTCGGAGAACGCTTTGATCCCCAGCAAACTGATCTCGCTCTCGCTGTCGTTGCTTCTCGCGGCCCTCCTGCAAGCGGTCAGATGCTTGTCGGACCTCGTCGAGGATGCCTTCAGATCGATCAGTTACGACAGAAGCGGATTGCTGCAGTGAACTGCAAGATAAATGTCTAAGACAATGCAACAGATATTTCGTTATATCAAAAACACCACCGGATAGATAAGTACTTAAGTGATTTAATGACAATTAATCATAATACCAACCTCGTAATCGTTTAAGAGTTATACGATATCTGTGATAAACGCTATGCTTAGAATTCCCGACGAAACTTGCATTAACCTCTGCTTCCAAAATACCAAGATTGACGAAGCTCATCTTGTGTTAACGAGACTCGAATTTTGAAGAAACTTATAAGGATAGCGTGCTGTATATATAACGCGATTATGACGAGCGAGTTAATCTCAACAATTGCTCTTTCCCTTTGAAATGTAAGATTAAAAGACAAATGGACACAACGAAGCAAAAATACAATGGTGCGTTATAAATCTGGATAACCCGATGGTGCTGAATACGGGGCTAAGCGTGAACGATGTTTTAGTATTATGTATGAATGTACGTTCAAAAGTGCCTGAAACCCAATGCGTATCACACATGAGATGTAGTACACGATACACTATTAATAACGCTATTTACGTCTACCTACATAAATCTCTTTTTTCAAGCTGTAAGAGCGTTGAGAGAAAATAAAGCGAAACGAGAAGATAAAATGCTTGAAACGTATATAAAAGAGTAAGTCGCTTTTCCCTACTTCATCCTTCTCCGTTCTTTCCGACTCAAAGAACATAAATCTGGAAATGGTAATGTTGGACTTTTCAAGCATTCGATTTGAAAGGAACCTCTGATTAAGACAAATGCAGTAGGATCGATTGAATTCTATTATAAATTCTATTATAAATTGATATATATACCCCTATATATATATATATACACTCTGGAATTGTATTTTTATATCAGCTATAAAGTTGAGTTAAAATTTGCAAGAGCTTTGTATTTCGTTAGAAAAGAACATGAACAAAACCGTTAAATAACAAAGCGGAGATAAATCATTATTTATAGCTATACTGTTGCCAATAAAAAGAACAATGATATTTCTGTTCTTTTTTCCAGCCAGCAGATCAACAGATCAGCAATAAATCAATATTATGATAATTTACGAATTATGTATCATCGATCATTACATCACGGATTTATTTTCAACAATCTCGTCGTTTTATTCGCCATCGATCTTTCTCAGTATGCATTATAAATCAGTACAAAATGATTTATACTTTGTACGTATATTTCGCGCGCAAAATATGGCGAGGAACAAGGGTGAAATTTGGATCGATGTTTCATGCTTATCGTACGTCAGCTAAGGTCGAAAGGACGACATAGTAACGTGATACCGAACTGTTCCCTCGAAATGTTCCCTCAATTTCGAGTTTCTCATCTTACAATCAGTTGAACAAAGTCTCGTGTTTCTAAGTCAAGGCTATCTTTTGCAAAGCTTTTTCTAAAAATGGTTACTTCCTTGTTTGTTCACATGATGTCAATCTCAATAACTAACAATATATCATTGTTAATAAAAAATATACATACATGTATATACAAAATATGTATGTATATATGTATATATTATATATGTATGAATAACGTTATCATATTTTGCAAGATCAATTAAATATAACATTTTCAGGCATTATTGGAAAATTATTGGAAAATTCAAATATTATCGTCAATAATCGCAAAATTTCATGTCATTTACGTAAATATGAAACACAATGTCCAAAACTTTTCGTATCTCATTTACTTATATTTCCATTGTATTTGATTTACATACCGCGAAAATATATAAGTGCATAAAATTGAATTTTCTTATGATTTAGATACAAATCTCGCGTGTAACATATCTTGAATAAAAAAAAAAGAAAGTTAAATTATCGCAAAATTACCAAGAAAAACGTGTGTGACAACGTTATTGCGACGTTTATCACCGTGTAATAAACGCGAATAAATACGCGATCGGGTAAGTTCTCTTTCCGGTACATCAATCGTTTAGAAAAGACGTCGCTCGCATTCTCTTCTATACAAGAGCCCGTTCGTTTAGCTAGCCAATGCCAACATAAAAACGCCATTACGAAGATGAAGAGCCAGACATCTTGGGCGGGTCTTCTGAGACTTAATACTAAAATATACCCTCATGTGAAAATGAAATCGAACGCCCGGCTGAATCTATTCCCCACAAGAGAAAAACGCTCTTCTCTCCCTCTCGAGACTTGAATTTCATAGATGTCCTTCAGTACTTTCTATGGAATACTCCCTTGAAAATACGTCATTCCTTGCAGATATCGATCATTGTACTTTATAGGAACAGAGATCACAAAGGACTACGCGATATGCAAAATACATTATTGCTACGCTAATGCTTATCAGAATGTAATTCAATCCCTCCTGTTCTGGCAAAGTTCTTGCGAGTTCTGACGAACATTGTCATGTCATTATATAGTTATACATTTCTATTCTGACAAAGGAACAAAGAGTATTTCAACTATTCTTCGATTTTGCATGCATATGCGCAAGGCCTCATAGGTAAAATGCCGGTAAAGTTAATATAAATAAAAGCTTTCACATTGATATGAATATCTCATGCTTCGAATAAAACGGAAAATTAATACAATAGTTCTAATTCTACTAGAAAATACTTCCTGCGTGTAACTCTCTTTCGTAGCTGTCCAAATATCATTATTGTTATTGACCGACATATTCATTGTCAAGCATATTAACAAATGGACATATTTTACGTTGTAAAATCTGCATAAAATAGACAATTCAACTACTTGAGTCATTACAGATGAATCATGGCTTTTATTTGCAAAATGCCATACATTAAATAGCACACTAACAGCTTGCACTTGCCTTTCATATTCTCGCTTGAATTTTTCTTAAATCAGCCAATGTTCTTTCATTTGATTTATTTCTACAAAGAGAAGGCTTTTTACTCGACCATAACATTTATTTTACTTCAGAGCTTGGGATCTACGTTATACTTAATGTCAATTCGAGTCAAAAGCGCCTTTCAGCTTTCTCAACGATCCTTTGACGAAACTGCGCGCGTAACTGATGATCTTGTTCGTCTCGTTTTCCGCTTTGTTACTGGCGACACGAGGAACTGAATAAAATATACGTAACGCGCCAGAGAGGCGAGCGTATATCTATGCAGTTGCTTATGCGTCACGCGCTTCGCAACGTCGCGAAAGCAGAGGCGGAACGACTTATTTGACTTGAAGCATATTGCCATGAAAATCACGCACGCTATAAAATTTTCATAATATCTGTAAATTATCAATTCTGAGATCAATCTCCGGAGTTGCACGAACAAAGACGAGGTGTTACTTTGAAGCAACTTCATAGACGCAATAAAATAAAAAATTAATACGCCGCTTAATTTTAACGTAACAAAGCGTTTCATATTCCCGTATTACGTATTCATTGCAACGGATAATAAAACGGATAATAGAACACAGTATATAATGAGAGAAATTTGTAATTTTAGTACTCGTTTGCATATCTATACCTTTTTCGTAAAAGATTAAAACATATGCATATATAGAAGATTGCATCTATAACTACTTAAAGCATCCGAATTCGCGTCATCCCAACAATTTTGAAACATATTAAGTATACAAGCTATGTAATAAAAGCATCAAAGTTCAGAATTAAGAAAAAACATTTCGAGATTTTCGAGTACATTTTGTGAAGACGATAAATAATCAAAATTTTTTATTTTAATGAATTACTTTTTCAATAATTAACACAATTTAGAAATTATTGAAAAGATTATTGTACACAGATACATAACACCGCGGCATATTGGCTTTTTCCACTAAAATGTTTTGTAGCACACAAAAAGGTTTTTAATTAAAAATATATTTTGAGCATATATTTAAAAAATGATCGTTGATAGAATAAACGTCTAATATAAATTAGCACTAATCTTTATGCTTATAAATTTCTATTTATTTTGTAATTATGCCTTAATTGTCCCATATGCCCCAATTAAAAATATAACGACATAAAGCAATTTATAGGAAACTAGATTGCAGAGGCTTCGCGACAGAATCCGCTTAAAAGTTAATAGAGAGAAAAATCGAAGAGCAAAGTTTGAACACTAAACCGCCAGGTGTCCGTAGCTCGTGATAATCCTTGGTGGATCACGGTAGATCACGATAAACGACGCGATGGCGGTTCCCGGTTATTTCATTTTCCTCGTTGCTCACGCTGAGAACATCGTCTAATTTTTATCACGCTATGAACTTCTCAGTTCATCCTTTTTCAGCAACCTTCCTTTTCACCGACTCGCCGCTCGCCTCCGTAAAGTAATAACGAAAATCTTGTAACAAATTTTCATCGATCATCGCGGAATCAAATTTTTCCTTTTGTAGATACGCCACTAGATTTAAAACGTGTTCACGGAAATCGAAGTGAGCGTATCGATTCTCGCGCATCAAATTATCGTTACTGTTTGAATTTTATTTTAGATAATCCCACGAACTCGCTACAATTATATTATTCGGTATTTAAAAATGTCTCGTTTTTCCTCTAAAAGAAAGATTTTTATTTATAGAAACATCTCTCAGAATTATTGATGTTAAGAACCATTTCATCGGATTTGCAATTGTTTATTAAACTTGTAATACGGTAAAGTAAGAAAAACAAGCTAATAGGCTATTAAGAAGATAAATGCAAACAAAGGAAATGGTCGTATTTAATTCTTATACCAATTAAAAATAAAAATTCTATTGAGAAAATCCAGAAAGAGATTAAATTACATTTAATAACATATATATTTTTTTCTGTGATAATAATTAGTGTAATTACTACGGCGCTTCTATAAATGTTAATTATCTAATTGTTTGCGCTTGATATATGTTAATGAGTTATTAAGTTTACTATATATTTTGCTTTTATCTTATGCGCTACATATATATTGTAATTATAAATGAAAGTGACCCATAATTATATATGCTATATATACATATAGAATATATAATTATGGATCACCTTTATTTATAATTCAATAGATTGTAGTAAGTAGAAAAATGAAATGATAGGAAATACCCAATATAATATCCATTCAAGAATAGCTTGATAAACATTGTCTTAATAATTTAGAGAATATGTACAATTACAGAGCAATTATTCTAATAAAATTTATTATTCAAATAAATTATTATCTATGTTAACAAGTATGGAACATTTATTTAGCTTTTGAAATTGGAATAAAGAATTAAACATCTGTCGTTTATATAATTATAAGCAGTACTGTATATAAATATGCATACATATATACACAGGGTGTCCCATTTTCAATGTCCACTTCAAATATCTCTTGAACAGTGCATTTTAGAGAAAAATGTTTCAGACTAAACTTTTATGACTTCAAGGGGGACATAAGATGTTATTGATTTGACCTTGGAGAGTTGTTTGAAGATTACATAAAAGTCACCTTCAATCTCCAAAATGGAAACCCTCATTTTTTATTGCATATTCTTATAGCTTACCTCTCAAAAGCTTTTTAAAAAATAATAAACATTATAATAAAATATTTTTTTATTAAGTATTTTTTATAAAGCTTGAAAGTTACAGTATCGCCGGCATTAATCAAAGTATACCACACCGAAGTTGCCCGATCGAATTTACATATTTTGTGTTTGTGTGTGTGCGTGTGTGTTAACAGAGATAAGAATTAATCGGCGTTAATCGGATTCCTAAAAACATTGGTTTAGAAACAAGACAATGCATATAGTTTTAACGGGACGGTGCACTAGCACATTCGAGAAGAATAGTTCGAGTTCATTTGAATTTAACATTCCTGGTAAGTGGATATATAGCTATAGGTCATTACGGATCTATAGCATGGTGTCCTAGATTCCCGGATTTAACAAGTTCATATTTTTTAGAATTTTTGAAGAATATTGTGTACGCAGAAGCATCCATAACAAGGGAAAATATAATGGAATAACTATTGCTTGCCGGAGCATTTCGAGAACTGTTTTTCTATCGACTGTTAAGAGCTTTCAACGTTGAGTCCAACTATGTATCGACAACAATAGACGTATATTCAAACACTTAATTGAAGGAATTTTATTTTTATTAACCTGCAACCTGCAACATGACAGCAAACATAAATATGATCTAAAATTGAAAAAACGAACACACACACACACACATACACAAAAGGTGTAAATTCGACCGCGCAATCTCAGCTTGGTACACCTTGAGTAATGCTGATGCCAGCGGTGCTGTAACTTTCAAGCTTGTAACTTGAAAAATACTAAATAAGAAAATATTTTATTAGTGTTTTGAAAAGCTCTTGAGGTAAGAATAATTAGAAATGGAGGTTTCCTTTTAAGAAATTAAAAGTGACTTTTTTACTGACTTATACTTGACTTGAATAATCTTCAAACGATTATCCAAGGTCAAACCAATGATATCTTCTTATATCCCCCTCAAAGTCACAAAACTTTTGTCTGAAATATTTTTCTCTGAAATGTACTGTGTAAAAGATATTTGAAGTCGTCATTTAAAATAGGACACTATATTATAAAACAAAAGCAAAATATATGGTACCTATATAAAATTAATAATAACTCATTACATATTGAAAGCAAACAATTAAATAATCAACAATTATAGAAGCGCCGTAACAACCACTGCCGCTGAAAATTGAAATTTTCTACATAGTTGCATAAATCAATTTGCCGGCTGGAGTCATTTCAGAATTTTGATTATGATATAAATTTTTGAGAGCCAGACGTAGAGGAGAGAGAGAGAGAGAGAGAGAGAGAGAGAGAGAGAGAGAAAGAGAAAGAGAGAAACGCATAGCACGATTAAAATAAGTACTCGGGCGTGTAATCCCATTTCAAGCGATGCACATTCAATCGCGTCAACAATCGCTCGCTAATGAATCTCCGAAACTTTTTCCAATTACTTGTTCCAATTACCGCATACGTGACGAATCGTCACTTTGCGTCAATGTGACAGCGTGATATGTGCATTACTCCTGGGATGCTCCTGGCATACTGATGCACATTCATGCATTGCGCCGACTACTATGACAGTAATGAATACGCTTCCGTATGTATATAGGTACGCATGGTGTTCGCGTGCAAAGGACAAACTTCATTTATAATAACGTTCTGTCCTACACGACGTTTGTTCAAAACGTTTGAGAATTCAACTTAATCAAAGCACGTAATTGTTATTTTATTTTTAAATTAACAACAAAGATATGTAAAACGAGATTTTTAATCAAATTTTCAATTCAACAAGTTCGTTATTTTAACGAAATGTAATCACGGTCATTCCGTTTTTTAACTGCGACATTATTTTACATTTTTCATAGTACAATTGCTTGATTTGGAGTTCAAATATTAACCTTATATTTCTGTAAATTGTATTTACTTCAGAAAGTCACTTGTTTAAATAACGAAGATTCTCCTATAACTTAATACATTTACTTTTAATAAAAGATGATCGTGAGAATGTGTAACAAAATTAATTTGTCTTTTATAAGAGTACTTGTATTTGTGAAATTTAGCAGGCTTTGATATCGACATGTCCAGAATATCCAATGTCAAGGATTCGATTTCCATATCCCGTTTCACAGAAGAGAGTCTCCAAAGTCTTTATCCGCGTGCTACGTACTTTGAAAACCGTCCAGAGCACGCGAATAAAGTTGTAAGTGGTCGATCGACTACTTGTCGCCCAATATTACCAATCGCATAGTTATACGTTTATGAAGTATTTAAAATATTAATGTCATCTCCGGAAAATTTTCAGAAATACTTAAAGCTGATATAGTTGAAGAACGAAAGATCGAAAATCGATGAACTTTTAATATCATACCAAATCAATAGACAAATTATGACTTAGTTGTACAGTTAAAATTTTTTATATAAAAATGATTTTGCTATTCACTGGCTTTTTAAATTAATTTCATAAATAAACAAATTTTATTGTTTTGTATAAAAATTATACATATATAATACATATGTTGTATATGTTAAAGATATCTCTTAATTTCTTTGAAATATTCATAATAAACGCAAAATTCCTATAGCAGCAAAATAAGTAGAAAGCAGTAAAGATTC